TCTCTCTCTCTCTCTCTCTCTCTCTCTCTCTCTCTCCTCCCCCCTCTCCCTCTCCCCCACCCCCACACCTGCACACTGTTTCTCTTGCTCTCTGGCCCGCAGATAGGTGGGCCAGTGCTGCAGGGGTGACCAGGGAGGAGCTAGCTGACCTGGCGCCTTCTCCCTCTTCCGCTAGAGTCTTGGTAGAGAAAGGAACCTCACCCACCCGTGGACCTGAACTCAGGGACCTGCCGCGTGGCGGCGCTCGCTCGTAGGCCTGGCTGCAGACAGGCCACGGACGCGCAGCCATTCCACTATCCCGCGGAAAACCCACCCCGCGGCGGACTTCAGCGACATCCAGAATCAAATTCCCTGAGCCTGGCAGGTCTCCGGATGCCGTCCCGCCGCAGCGGCATCCCACTCCCCCTTGCGAAGGGGCCCAGGAGAGGGCGCGGCGCCGTCGGAGGCACACCAGGCCTGAGCCGCGACGGCGCGCTGGGATCGCAGCTGCGGGCAGGGCCAGGCATCGCAGGGAGGCAGCCAGGAGCCCGGGTACTCGCTTCAAAGCCTGCCTGCTGCTGGCACCCCTCGGGCGAATTCGGCGCCTTGCGGGCCTCCAAACCAGCCCCCAGCCCCAGCGCTCGCTCTTTTCGTTTGCTCAAGATCCTGGGTGGGGCCGCGGACTCCAAACCGTTTTCTGATGCCTGACTGCGCGTGGATCGCAAGCTAAAGGCTCTGGAGGGCAGAAAGGCAGGGTGACCCTGGGATCTGTGCAGCTCACGACTTTGGGCCCAGTGACTGTCGCAGCCAGGTGCGACAAGGTCCACAGCCTTTGCCAGAGTTGGGCCACCTGGAGCCTAGGGCCTTGCAACCTTGCCTGGGCTCAGGGCGCCACGGGGCCAGTTCAGAGAACTCGTGCGAGGGGCATACCAGCTCCTCGACCTGTCCCACACGTTGAGCAACACAGAAACTGTTGGGTACCAGGTTGGCAAATGCCAAAAGCACCCACCCGGGATACAACAGACCCGGCGGCTGCTAGGGACAGGTGTGGAGGCACCGTGAGCGTCTCATACCGGCTCCCCGCTTTGAACGAAACGCACTGCTCAGGCGAGAGGGTTAGGGAGAGTTGGTGGCCGGGGAGAGAGGCCTCGGGCCTGTGTTTCACGCCCGCACCTGAAGCTAGAAGAGTGCGGAGGGCCACTTTTACGTGGGCCGGGATGTCCCCTGCTCTGAGCCTGGGACGCAGAGCTGCTGTGGCCAGCGTCTAAAGCAGGCGGCGGCAGGGCCCGAGTCCGCACCGGGGATTTCGGCAGCCTTTACAGGCAGGAAAAATAAGACTAAACACACGCACACAACCTCCGTTTCTCTGGTTTCGCACAGCGAGCACAGTCCCTTTTCTTCTGGGGATCACCATCAAGGGTTTGGGCTTGCCCAGAAAGAAGGTCTTCTCTTGTCTGCTGGCGTTGAAAATAGCCAAGTACCTCCTTCCCGCTAGATCATCCGATTCCTTTCGAATGGCCCCAACCCACTGCGGGGAAGCCCTTGGGACACTTAGGCGGCTGCCGGTGAGTGCGGTGTGCCGGACACCCGCTGGTCTATGGGCGCGTGGATCAGTGGTGGCCTTGGGGCTGAGTCCCGGGAGTTTCCTGCCAATCTCCAGACACAAGGCCTCAGGTTGTCCCTGCCCAAGTCAGGGGTGAAGGCATCCCGCGGGTGTGAGATCATGGGCTATACCCAACGCTGTCTTCCAGAAAATCAAATCCAATGCTCTCAGTAGACTTTCCAACGCAGCTTGGAGTATAAGGAAATATTTCAATGAAACCCAACTTTCCAAAGGTTTACAAAAGTTTCCTGCATCCTCACCATAGAGCTGCTCCTGCTTGCTGAAGCAATCGTTTTGAAGTGCAAAGTTCCAGTGGAGAAAAACACTGAAGGATACTGAGGTGGGGTAGACCCAAGGCACTTGGTACCACAGGCCTCTCCCTATCTGCTCTAAGTGCTGGAACTGAGGGCTGAGATTAAGGGTCAAGCTGGTGTCCATCAAATCTCCACACCTACCAATTGCTCTGTCCTGTGGCAGATTCTGTGAGGGAGTGTCCAGACTGAGACTGCCTAGTGTGAGGAGACCCTAGCTGAGCTCCTAATCTTTTTAGGACAGGCATCCAGCGGCCCCAGCTTCCAAGAAGTTCTAGCCCAGACCTGCTAGAACTGGTTTCCTGCAAATGTGGGAGGAGGGGATAGCTAGTATCATATCACACCCATGTGTTGGGTAATGGTCCTACAGGTTTTCTGTGCTTGGTGGGTAGTGACTTTTCATATGGCTTCCTGGGTGGCAGGTCCTTCATCTGCTCTGCCTACTGCTGAGTGTTGCCCAGAGGCTCCAGGCAGAGCTAGCTGTTGAGCTGCGGCATGGGGAGCTCAAAGGAGGCAACCCAGGGAGGTACTGAATTCTGGAACTCCAGAAAAGACACTAAAAATCTGCCCACCCTGAGCACTGGCAGGACCCAGTCCTAAGAAATTCAATCAGCTGGAAGTTCCAAGGGCCCCAAAGGGGCACATTTGTGGTGAAGCTGACAGAGGGTACAGGGGTCACACACTTTCTGTTAGTATTCTTAAGCCCATTGCTGTCCACTGGCAGGGACCTGAGAGATCACCAAAGCCCCAGCTAATAGTGCTGAAGTGAGCCCAAAGTCTCACACTGCCTGGTTCCACCCTCCCACACCCAACCAAAGGTACTCCTTTACCACTCTGGACTGAGTTTGCCAAAAAAGTGAGTTGACCCTGACCTTTGCTGGGACCAACCTGTCAGCTTAGGGTAGGTTATAAGTAGTTGAAAGTGAGGTAGATAGACTCTGAAACTCATTACAATCTGGGGTAGTATCTTTTCCAGGTCTCCCAGGGACAAACCCCAAGTCATAGGATTGCAGATGTGAGTAGTGGGACTCCTCACTACCTACAGAGGAAGTGTACAACCGTCACACCTGGATTTTTGCAGGGACTTGTTCTCATGGCTTGGCTCCAGAGCAGAGGGAAAGTTTGGGGGAATCTTACTGAATCCTTAAAGAATAAATATATGCCTTACCCGAAGACATGAAGCAAAGCCAAAGGTCAAAACCAGGGCTCTGGACTCCCCATTTTAGTGCCTATCACCAGCTTCCCCACCCTTAGAGAGTTTACAGGGATTGGAGCAAAACAATTTAGCCTAGACTTAGATGCCATGGCTCTTTGCTTTAAGCAGTATCAATAGGAACTTGTGGCCTGCAACAGCTGAGTGGGAAAGGGGGGCAAGGAAGTGGAAAGGACAAGTCCAGCAAGGAGATAATCCCCAGACTTTTCAAACCCTGCAAACAGCAGGAACAACCCCAGTACTCCCATCTCCTCCTTGTGTGCCTTGCTCCCAGAGAACCAGCATCACGTGTTTCCAGGAGGCGTCCTGACAATGAAGCAAAAAACAGGACCATCCTCCTTCAGCTTTTCTAAGGCCTTTATCCTGAAACTCAGCGCTGGGTTCTCAGGCTGAAGCGATCAGGAACTGAGCCCCAAGGCGGAAGGCAGGAAGCTGGCAGGTCTTGCTTCCTCTCTCCTCTGCCCCATGCACCTGGGAAACTCTACGAGCATCTTATACTCCCTGTCATGAGCTCCCGGAGGGCAGTTCGAGGGTCAACGCGATTCCACAGTTCTGCGTCCCGCCCCTGAAAGAGTAAACTTCCGTAGAGGCCACACAGAACCGCCAGGATTTTCTTGGGCCTTGGGACCCGTGGGGTAAAGCCTGAGTTCCTCCTGGCGAGGAGCAAGACGCACTGAGTTGGGGCGGAACCGGCCGAGGGGTAGCCAGCCCCGCTAGGAAAGGAAGGAAAGGCGGGATCCTCCGGGAAGTGGATTCTCAGGCGTCCAGCTGAGGCCACTGCCAAAAATCTGACTTCTCCCCCTATCTCCTCCCCCTTGCCCTAGAGGACAGCTTGGGTCCCGGGTTTCTAGCGTAGCACAGGGGTGGGGAAGTAGCCAGCTGGAAAAGCCGTCTTCCAGCGGTCCCTAAGGGGGTCCAAACTCTCCATCCCACCGACTCCATCCTGGGTTACAGTATCTGCCAGGCAGCAGCGACCTTCGGAGCGACGCGGTGACCCATCTGGAGCTGGAGTACCTGGCAAAGCCAGGTGTCCCAAATTTCTCTCCCTTAGCGGCTCCTTCTATCCCTGTCCCCTGTCCTCTTCCTAGCAGGCACCCCCTTAAACGGTCCTCCGCCCACTCCTCTAACCTCTTCTCTTCCCACCTAGGTCCTCCTCTTTTCTTCTTCACGCGTCCCCCTCAGCCCCACTCCTGCGGTGTCCTCTTCCTCCTCCTCCCTTGCTCCTTCGGCGTCCGCCCCGTCAATCACCCGCGTCTCGGGCCCCAGCCCGGCCCCTCTCCTCCGCCCAGGCTTTAGGAGTGCCTGGGGCTCCCGTCTCGGCCGCCCTTCGCTAGCGCCGAGCCCGGGCGATCTGTCAGCGGAGCCGGCCGGGGGGAGCCGCCCGGGCCGCCGGGGCTCGGGTTACCGGTGACTGACAGCGTCTCCATGGCGAATAATTTGACTCGACTATTGTCTGGCGCGGGCAGGCCCCGGGTCAGATAACCCGACCAATCAGGGCGCGGGCCGCCGCGCCTCATGCCCGCTTAGAATAATATTATTAAAAAAGCTGCGAGCGAGCTAGATCGGAGGGAGAGCGAGAGAGAAGCGAGCGAGGGAGCGGCGGGCGGACGCAGAGCATGCGGAGCGGCGCCCCGGGCGGCCCCCGGGCTTGCGCGACGGTGAG